AAAATTATACTAGTGATGATCAGTGGTAATAGCTGCTCGATACGTAAGTATCGAGGCAGCTTTTGTCTCGAATCTATTTACCCGATCGAACATGTGACAGGCCCGGATGCGGTCACATGTTCGATCGCTCTAAGCATATAGTGATTGGTTATGCAATTAGTGATGTCGGTATGTTATGCATTCAGTGATTCGAGTATGGTTAAGGTGATTAGTATCATCAGCGAATATGTATATTTGAGTAAGTATGAGGTAATTAGCATTATCAGCGAGTATGTAATAATTGAGTACGTATATGAGGTAATTGAGTAAGTACGTGGTATTTGAGTAATTGGACCTTAGCGTTAGTATTTAGTAAGTATGAGAAATCGACTTTCATTCTGGTTACATCGGTCCATCCCCTCGCCCCAAATGATGCAACATTGTTTTGATTGGCCTGGGTCAACAATCACACGTGTGGGAGTAGCTTGTCGTGACAACAACGTGATTTGTAGTTAAAAGTTAGAGAGAAAAGGAAAGAAAAGAAAAAAAAAGAGAGAAGAAAAGAAAAGAAATCGACGCTCAGATAGCAGAAGGACAATACCCGTTATGTTCTTCATGATAATATATTCATAAATGAGAGACAAAACAAATATAAATTTTATAAAACTTTATATATGAAATTTAAAAAAAAAAAAAAAACAGGCCGGCCGGGTCTACTTGAAAGTTTCATATTATGAAAAGTAAATAATTAAAATTTGTATGGCCTTATACTGTATCAGAATTAATTCTACCTGTTATCAGAAAATCTTTCAAAAAAACTATCTTGAAATTCTTAGTTACGAACATTTTGATGTGATTATTAGAACAAACGAACCTTCATTACAGGCTCTTCAATTATGTTACGAAATAAATCTATATTTTCCGAGATATATTAACAAAAATTGACAAAAAATAACATTAAAAGAATTGATTTAAGCTATGTTCCCATTCAACAATTTAAAATTATTATCAAGTAAAAGTTACAAAACATTTTAATCGTTAGTCTTATATTTATAAAAGTAAAGGTTAAATTTTAAATTACATATTTAATTAATAAAGATTTATTTATGGAGAAGTGATTTTGCTGGCAAATTATGATACATAATTCATACTTGAATTTTTTGCTAATCGCTTACGAGATTTTCTAGAAGAATTAATGAAATATCCAATTTCATTTAATCGAAGTTAAGGTTAATTTGTCCGTTTACATTTCGTACGTGCTTATACAAATGTCTCCACAATAACAAACTCCAAAGATTACATAAATGGTGCAATTATATTATGACAAAGTATCCAAGTTGGTTTTTAGATCGAAAAGTTTCTCACCAGAGAATACATCAAGATCATTTTGGGTGAGATGATTTACCAATGGAAAAGGAAAAAAAATCTGGGAACATGTTATCAAACGGATAATCTCTAGAAATTTATCACCTGATCCCAAGGATTGGTCTAGTGAAAATTTTCTGTTCTTGAAATACAAAGTTGTTTATCTCTCATCCGTTATTTCAAATATCTTATGAAGTTATTATTGATAATGTGAAGCCACAACTAATGCTCCTAAGGGTTGAAATAGTTCGGTTAACCCGAATAAAACCTGCATCCGAGACCCTACATGTCAGTTCGAGTCAAATAAATTATTGTCACTTAAATTTATAAAATAATCTTACAATAATAGTTTTATAAATACATAAAATGAAATCTATAACCCGATTTTACTCGATTTGGGTTCGACCCGAAGCTTGGCCCGTATCGGTATGAGGACTAAACAGAGTGACTTGTATATGCTTTCTTGTAAAACTGCTTTGAAATAGTTTTATATATCGTTATTGATTATTAGCATATAACGATAATTTTGGTTTTGACTATTTGTATTACTTGATAACTGTTCAATGTAATAAATCATTTGTGGATTGATGATAAATAAACTTTCTCACGTGTTATAGTATCACGAAAAATCTCTTGATTTTGCATAATCATAATATGTAAAGATATATAGCCACATGTACAATACAGTACGTATGCACGTACGTGCTGTTGTTCATATAACAATATCGATAAATGATTTCTTATTGATTCATGATCGTACAGTACATTGATGTATATTAGAAATATGATATGGCTATTTACATTACTTGTTTGTCATACCTTGAACGTGGAAGTTTAATTATTATATAAATTCTATCGCCTTAAGGTATTTAATATTCAAACTTTAAGCATTTAATAACGATAAGGTGTCTTGTTCCTATTCTATTAAACGAAGTTTGTGTAATACATTAGATAGTTACTGAGTATGATTGATTGTCTCATATATCACATAACCTTAATATAGTTAGAACTAATGGTACTCAAGAAATATTACACGAAAGGAATTACAATAAAAAAAATGTGAAATTTTGATTCTACAACATAAATTAGGTTTTATAAAAGTTAATAAAATTGCATTGTTATCGTTATAGAAAAAATCGTATTTTTTTTTTTATTGTTGGTAAAAATTTTTTCCTGTGGCTTTTCTTGTAATAAAATCGTGGAATATGCAATAACAACGGTATATAGTTATGTACTGTACGTACCAAAGATCTTAAATCGTGTAAAAATTCTGAGATTTCAAATCAATAACAAGTTATCACGTGGATATCTGATGGCTGAAGAGGCTGTGCTTGTTGTATAGGGTGATAGACTAAGCCAAAATATTAAGCCACAATCAAAATACGTACGTACGTACGTACGTACTGTACGTACTGAAATATTAACATTAAAATGACGCATCACTATCTTATAAAAATTTCGAAACGTCTATAATTCAATGTTATTGTTTTATTATGCATATGTCATAATAGTAACAAGAGTCACTAAGTATATGTGCAAGAATTTGTGTATCTTAGAAATTCTTGATCTTGTTACTTTCTAATCTGTAGATTTTTTCTTTTTAAATCATGGTTAGAAATTTTTGAAATTTAAAAAATATGGAAGAAGAAGAAGAGCAACCACCTACATCAACATCTCAACCCCAACAATCTCAGGAATCCCAACAATCTCAGCCTCAATCTCAAGACATTACTATTCCTCAAACAGGCCCTGGTGGTCGAGAAATAGTAGCAGCTCATGAACCGACTCATCCTTCTCATCGTGAAACATCTTTATTATCAGGAGGAATTGGTAGTATAAGGGGTCCATATCAATATGCTCCATATCCTCCATATACTATGGAAACTCAACAAGATACTCGAGTGAATGTAGGAGATTCTTCGAATATTTATGGCACAGGATATGATAATTTGTTAATGGGCCCACCTCATAATAGAGGTGCTAGGCCTAGAAGACTCCAAGATAGGAGCTTTAGCCGGGGAATCTTTATGAAATTTTTATGGGCTTTGACTGCTTTAGCAAATCTGGGGATTGTGATTGGATGTGGGTTTTTGGTATATTATTACATAAATGTAAGTTTATATTTGCTCAATTTTAAGAGAGAGATATATGTACATAAATTGTTAATTTTACTAATGTTTTAATTTTAGAGTTCTATCCAGTCTATTTATGAAATCATTGCAAAATATGTGATTATTTTATATCTTGTATTAGAAGGTGTATTTCGATTAGTTAATGCATTTCAAATACATGACTTTACAGAAGGGAGATTTAGATTACATGAAGGAATTTTGGTGTTACTATGTAAGTGTTTTTTTTAATTTAATTTCATTTATTGTATACTAAAAAATAATTGTTAATTTTATCTAGTTAAAAAAGAAGGTTATCTTCTTTTTGGAAGAGTTCAACTAACTGATAGCCAAATAATTAAATTAGCTAACGCAGCAGATAGTACTTGTTTCATAATAATGACATTATTCGCCATGCATCTATGGTTAATTGAGAAAGAATCAAATCCAATTTTTTCCACAGAACGTAGGTCACGTCGAATTGAAGTCTATTTGGCTGTCCCAATTATATACATCACGTTCATGCGTATATGGCTTTATAAGGCTGACCCTGTACCTACAGTTCAACCGCAGGAAGAAACACCATTAGCTACAGCTACGGGAGGTCATAGATTAGGTGTAAGGGTTGAAAATTACGAAACTTATTATAGAATGGAAAAAAATACTTATTGTGACAAATGTGTTTACGGATGTTGTATGTTATGTGATAAGTGTTGTGCTTCAACATATTCGATATGCTGTAGTTGTTATGAATGGGATTATGTTCCTTGTGACTGCGGAATATGTGATTGTAATGGTGCTATTGCTTCATGTTGTGGAGGATTTTTTAATGCTTTATATGTATGTTTTAGTAAATTTTGGTTTTTGGATTAATGTAATTTGTCTAATTTTAATTTTAAGCTATATCATAAGCACCATAAACATTCGTTTACTAATCATCATGATCAAATGATATTACGCTTGAAGTTAATTCCGCTTTCTTCATTCTCACTCATATATACAATCTATACAAAAAATTTTGAATATTTTCGTGTTGCATTTATACCTCGAATTCACAACATTAACTTGCGCTTCTGCACTACTTTGAAAATTAAGAAATGTTCGAAAACCAAACACATCTTTGGTGCGCAACATCTTTTTTAGTTCTGTAGAAAGTTTGTTTTATGCATTTCTTTGTAAAGGGAAGAAAATAAAACCGTAATATATCTTGAGATACGGTTGTTAATTTGATTATATAATAATTTTAATGATAATTGTATAAATCTTATTAATTATTATATCATATTGCGATATGTTACGCATTAAAAAGCCATGAAACTCGCGTAATTCTTATAGTCATTATTAAGATACGTACAGTACCTTGCAAGATGTGTTACATTAAAGATACATTTAATAATATGAGACATAAATAGGGTCTTAAAGCTTTTTCAAATTTTATCACATGACTTGCGCGAAATCGCAGTAATCTGGTGAGATACATACTAAAAAATTATATTTCATGTTTTGTTATATAAGAACATATGGGATCTTTACTTTGAAAATCACGTTGAGACATATGATTTACTATGTTCCATAACGTGATTCTCAAGGCAAAGACCCGATCCAATGACATATTTGAACAAGCTTCTTGATTATTCACCGAATATTTTGGTTTTCTTGATTTTGTAATTTTTCGTATTATGACACCGAAAATTCATTAGAAGTATTTTTAACCACCTTTGTATATGAACCATAGTCTTGATAAAAATTATTTATCATGCTAAGATCATCAAACCAAAACATAGACCATAGTTAGAATTACAATGAATTGCTTGTTCTGGTATTTTTCTACGACTTAAACTAGC